AACATTGCTAATTAAAACAGGTCCAAGAAACACTTATCGTACAAACAATGAAAATTTTCTTTATATAAATTGATCGTCAGAGCGCATGTCTTAAAACTATATATAGATAGATTTCATCATAAAAAGTGTGGGGCGTTAAGATTGTTTGATAAACTAGAAATTATTTATGTCCCAGTCATTAATATGACAAATCAAAAGACTGCATTGGTAGTGTTACCGTTACTGTGTGTATCTTAACAAAGGACTGATATTTAGAAATGATGTAATTACGGAATTCATTCTAATAATATATATACGAAGAAATAAAATAAATAAAATTTTGATAGTTTTTTCTTCTAAAAACCTCTAAAAAAACTTGATTCTCTAAAAATTTTAATCAATGCTAGTAAGTACGCTTTTTCTTTCTTAATTTGAGTTCACATGGTTCTTACGAATTGAAAAAAAATTAGAAAATAAACACATCCATGCCGCCCTTTCAAACTCTAGACCATCATACTGGTAATTATCTTAAAATTTGCGCATTAAATAATTATTTAATTGAATTGATTAACAATTCATAATTTCATAGACGAGGCATTAGAAAATGAGACTGAGGAGACACTCAATGAAAAAACATGGGCGGATTTAATTGCTTTGTGCCAAGATCGACGTAAGTTTTCTACTTTCTTAAAATTTAATGAGATTTAATCTAACATTTAATCATATAGAATTGGATGCGGAAGGCGATAAACTGACGCTTATACAACGACTCTTGGATTGGGTAGGTAGATTTGTTTTTTAATCTCGTTACTTTATCAATATTATGATAAAATGGTGGGAGGTCGATGGAAAAAGGTCAAATCTTTTCCAAGAAAGCTTTTTTTTTAATTCAAATAAAATATTTTAATAATTATTTCACTAAATTCGATAAAAAAAATTTTTTCTTATTCAATTCCATAAAATTATATAAAAAAAAAAAATTTTTATCGAATTTTGTATGGTAATTGTTAAAATCCTTTAAACTAAAAAAAAAGAAACGTTAAAAATATTTATCTCTTTATTCTACTATTTTTCCCAAATAAATTATTTTTTAAAAGAAAGTGAATACACGCCCAGTTCCTGCACCTTCAACTCCGCGTCTTTTTTCAGCAGACGGGTCAGGTACTCCATGGAAAGAGAAATTAAATACAGCATTATTGTCATCATTACTACTTGAAGAAGATGATATATCAAGAGAAATTCCTTATAATGAGTTAGAAATAGGGAAAAAGTTGGGATCAGGTGGTTTTAAAGATTGCTACATTGGACGA